TTTCTTTAGGTGAATAATAAAAAAGAAGTCAGCACAAAACATGGCAATTACATGCTTATCCATAAAAATCTGCTTTAAATCATCCATTTTATCTGCTGACTGCCTGCTTTCCTCAGCTTGGTTTGTGCACTGGCCAGTTGCAGATATGCCTATGCTGCTTGCAGTGACCCCTGTGTTGCATTCTCCATGATTCACATCGTGATCAGTAAGATTTGATCCTCTCTTCCTTTTAGTAGATCCTCCTTGCATGCTGAGCGTCCCTAGAATGCTTGGATCTGGGGATTCAATCCACTCACGGAATTTATGAAGACCATCCTCCTCAGGGAAAGCGTTTACAACCTCAATAGCATTAACAATGCCAATCCCACTGCATTAAAATGCATCCATTGAAGTCTAAATGAGAAACAAAATTGGGGAACTACCCATGTAGATTAATAATTTAAGTTCTATAATTGTAAAGCCATTTCACCTTTGGTTAGAAAAACCAAGAATTTGTGGCCTACCAACCAAAGGAGGAACAGGTAAAACCACGGGTTTGCAGAAGTGAACTTTATAGTGAAATATCTAAATGCAGAAGAATGCAACACAAGCAGAAGTATTTCCAGATAATAAGAGGGGCAAACTGCTCCTATAGTTTACCTAATTCCTTCAGTATAATCACTCCCAAGAAGCAATGCCATCCGTGTTAACTGCTCTCTGGTTAGGCCAAGCTCCTTCTCAATATCCTAAATAGAACCCCAGCCCCCCATGCCATAACAAAACCCACAGAATAAGTAATTGAAAATATGGAAACAAAAAAACACCTCAGATGAAAAGAATAAATAGCCTCAAGCAATAATGAGGAGAAGAATTTAAATAAGAAAATATCCTGATACTACAATGAGAAGGTCAACAGAAAATACCACCACAAAGGGAAAAAGAAAAATGGCACCTAGAAGTTGCCAAGCAGAAAAATAAAATAAAAGATGAATCAGAGAGAATGAAAGAAGAACAACAGGTCTTGAGGAGAGAAAAACAAAAAAAGAACTGCAGTCTTGTAAAAGTTCCAACCTCCATGAAATAAGTCTCCACATATTTCCTCTCATCAAATATATTCTTGTAAACACTCCGTGCCCCAAACAAGAACACATCAGAATCATCAGTAACAACACCATCCACAAGGTTTGCAAGCTCCATATAAGCACATTGAGCTTCTGCTTCCATCGGTGCAATAATGTAAGGTAAACCAAACATTTGCAGCAATTCCTTCAAAAAAACCATACACCAAATTATCAGCAGCAGGGTAAATGATGAAAGAGAGAGATAAAGAAATCTAAATATGCTGGATGGAACCAAGGCAAAGAATTTCATGGAGCAGATAGGAATGAGTTTAGACACTAGATTTAGTAGAATTCTTATTTAAAAATATAATGATGAAATTTTGAACCCACACCTGACACTCTGCAAACATCTCACTACTAACAGATTCTGCATTCCGTTCAAGCTTTCTCTGCTCATTTCCTAGATTCATACGTTCTTGATCTAGAATTAGTAGTTCCTCTTCCAAACTGGCCTCTGAGAATTCAATCTGTTCATTATAATTGTCTATAATTGCAGATTTGTCACTGCTCTGCTCCCTCACTTTGAAGTGATTGACAGGAGTCCCTTCTCCAGGAAATTTTTGCCCAATGCAAACATCAGACATTGAACTATCAAGAGATGAACCCACCACAGGGATTGAAGAATCAGTTATCTCAACTGAGTGATGCAATAGTTTCTTGTCCTCAATCATGGTTGAAGGGTCCACCTCAAGACCATTTTTCCTATCACTGATTGGAACACATGGTTCAGCTGCATAATCATTATTCTTATCATCATAATGAACAGCCTCAGATGGACCGCCAGATACTGCACCAAAATTATGACAAATATCACCAGAGCACCTTTTAGCGATGGACAATGATTCATGACCCTCATCACAACAATCAGAGCATTGTTCTAAAGGGAAGTTCACCTCCTCCACTCTGTCATCAGAACCATTCATCAAAACTGACTTAGACTGCCTCTCTGGAGAAGTGTTTTTATCTAAGATGCTTACTCCACCTGGACTACATAGTTTCTCAACTCCATCTACAATTTCAGGTAGTAATTCATTTTTTTCAGAAACATTCTCCCTTGGCAAACTTGGTCCATCCAATTTATTTTCTTCATGAGGAATCTCAGCACCTACAATAGCGTATTCTTCAAAGTCTTTCAACTTCTTGGGTTCTGAAGAAAAATTATTCGACTTCTCACCACTTAAATCCAAGAGACTTCTCCTTATTGCCTCCTGCAAATTAGCCTCCTCTTCCAAAGAACCTTTTGAAAGTGTTTGTACTTGTTCATCAGGGCTTGAGGAAGTTTTAGGAGCACCAGAAGGTCCTTCCTCCCATTCCACTTCATTCTCATCACTGATGTCTCCCTCTTTAAGAGAAGGCTCAACTTCAACATTAACATCATTTTCTGAACTATAACATTTTCTTTCGACAATGTCTTCTTCCCAGTCAAAATCTGAATCATAATCTGAAGATTGTTTTCTAGAAGGAGATTTGCCAGGAGAAGAAATTGTTGTTACAGAATCTCCTGCAACTAAACGAGCAAATAAATCATCATCAGCATCAAAATGGTTGTTCTCCCCATCATCCTCTAAAGTAATCTCAATAGAAGCTTCATTCTTAAAAGAGGATGATTGCCCATCACTCTTATTCAAGTTCACAGATTCAAGGTTACCATCATGAGAAGTTTCCAGAAACTGGTTTTCCCCAGACAAACTTCTTTGAGTACCCACTCTGTTCCTGTCTAGGATAGACTCAACATTTGCACTTTTTGAATTTGTTCTCTCCTTCTCAACCTCTTTCATGAAATCCAAATTTCTTTGTAAATCACGGGTCATACGGATCCCCATAGCTCTCCTTCTGCTGACTCGTACCAGCCCCCTCTCATCCACATATGTCAGAACATCTTCATCAAGAGTATTTCCAGGTTCGTCTGGGGCCAATGCTGTCACATCATTAGAGTTACTGCTAGATACAATGTTATTCAAAGAATCTGAAGGAAGCTTTGGTGGCATCTGCTGCTGCTTATCTACATTTCTCTCCAGTCTTGCAGATGCAAGCACTCTGGCATATTTGAGGATGCACAATCAATTAAAGCTATTACTCTTTTAGAGAAGTAGTCAAAAGGTGTAAGGGAAGGAGGGGGAGGATGGGTTTTAGAAAATTGGAAAAAAAAAAAAGAAAAAAGAAAAAAGAAAAAAAGGCATAAAAAAAAAAAGGCAAAACAGAATAGAAGGTCAAGTGTATAAATCTCTTAATAGTACACCAAAAGAATTGCTACTTAACTGTTTATCCCCAGTAAATGATGATGAAAAGATGAATTCTCTGTTGGCTTCTGAGGCTATCCTTGAAGTTTGTATACCACCTACTCCCCTTCCAGCGGCAGCTTTCTGCACTTCATCTATCTCTCGACGGAAAGCAACAGTTTTAAGATAAGACTGTATTTGTAGTTCAGAAAATTTTTCAGGGGCCTAATTGTCCAGGAAAAGAATCAGTTAGAAAAGATCTGTAAGTGACTATATTAAAAAAATATAGTTATATGACACAAATAAATTATGTGATATTTATAAGTTGTCCCATATAAACAGATATAACAACCTCAATAATGCTTTTATTGTATCATTATAACACCCAGTGAAGTCCTCAAACATAAATTCACATGAAACAAATCCACTCCAAAATGCATTTTCAGTTGTGCTCGTTTGACTAAGAATCCTCTAGCATGACTGAAATGGAGAGTATAAAGAACGCAATGCAGTACATTTTAAAATTAAGGTCAATCAGGATACATATTAAACAATTAGAGAACTTACCTTTTTGACTCTCTGATATTTCTGTCTGTTTTCAGCCATCAATCTTTCTCTCATCTATAGAAAATATCAATAACAAATATCAGATATATATAATATCCACACACAAAAGTAGGATAATAAGAAGATTCTAAAATTGGATGGATCATACAACCAATTAGCAAATAGTAATCTGTATATAGGTCACCTGGACAAGAAGATCAAGTTGCATTGATGGAGGCAATGAGGCCAAAACAGCTGGATCAATATTACCATGTAGTGTTGGCTAAATATTAAATTAAGCACAACTGTCAGATGCTTACAATTGGAGAAAAATTCTCATTAACAGAAAAAGCAATAAACATTGAAAAGATACATAGTTCTAAATGACTTGAATTTTGAAAATCATTATAAGTTTTACCAAAATCTTAAAAAAAAAAAAAAAATTACACATTTCAGAGGATTCAGAATCAAGTTAACATATTATATAAGTTGACTCTACAATTTGGTAATAGAAAAACTTGTGTACATGAATTCTTACAACAAAAGCCAGAAGAACTTACAAAAATCATCTCCTCATCCTCATCCTCATCAGCATCTTCCTCAAAAGGAATGGCAGCAGCAGATGTTGATGCATTATTATTAGATAAATTTCTATCTTCCACCATGAGAGATGCTGCCAACCTAAATTAACTCATTAAGAAAACTGAAAAACTATTCAAACTAGATAGTTGAAGAAAACCATATAATTACAAATCTACAGTAGCAAGTGTAGCTCACATTTGATCAAGCATTTCCTGATTGCAACTGGCAGATGCAGCAGCATTCTGTTCTGAAGTTCTCCTTTCCATGTCAAATTGATCCGGTTTGTCTGATAATATCTTCTTACTCTTAGAATCATTCTGCATGGAAATCATGAAGAAGTTGCATCAACAAAGAAAATCTAAATGAAAATAGCATGGAGGAGGAAAGCCAGAAATAAAAATTCAGACAGTCAAAGCCATGCATGAGCACCCAACCTGACCAAGAATACTACGTTGCATAGATGGAGGCAAAGCAGCTAAAATATCTGGATCAACAATCCCACTCATTTCTGGCTGCAAATGAATAAAAAGCAAGCATCATAAATAACAAACAAAGAACCTTAACAGCACTGAGCACCTAGAAAGATCTCAGACTCGACCCACAAAGAGACATACTTTTCAACTTAGAAAACACTTGTAACATTTAAGTTACTATACTAGTTTATGGGTTGATCATCATATGAAATTGATCATCTTTAGCCAACTAATCATTTGTGTCAATCCAACCTAACAGGTAACCATAAAAAGCGATACCTCCATAAGTTATGCTGTGAGATTAGCTATCAGTCCGTACTAACCAGTATTAACTCTTCATCCTCATCTCCATCATCCTCCACAGATGGAGCTGCAGCAGGAGTGGTCGACCCAATGTTATTTAACTTCCCATCTTTTTCTGCAACAGACTTTCCCGACCTATTCAACCCACGCAACAATCAGAAGAGCCAGAGCCATTCAATTTCAAAATATCCTAACAACAACAACAGCAGAGCAGCTTACGTTTCTTTCACTGTTTCATGACTGGAATTTCCTGATTCTATGTTGGTTTGATATGACTCATCTGAAGACATTTTTCTCTTCCCCTTCATATTCTTCTGATTTTTCCTCTGGCTCTCAAGATCCTGTGCCAGCTCTTTCAATCTCACTTGCTTGAGCTATTAAGAAATATCCAAACGGAAAAGAAACATTAGTAAGTTGATTAAAGTGTTTTCCAATTAGAATGAAACGAAACGGGATTAAATATGTGTCCTACATGATTGAGGAGCAATTTCTCGGCTGTCTTCCGGATCTTGGCCTGGGCGTTCTCTCGTTGCCTGCGACGCGCGATGACGGTCCGGCGCTTGAGAGCTGGCGTGGCACCGTCAAACACGAAGACTGGCTTAGTCTTGAGGTACAAAAGCTTGCAGATTCTCCTGAAAAACCCTAGCAAATGTGCGTTTCGTACCATCTCTCCTTTATCATCTCTCATGGCCTTCATAAACTGCACCATCCATATACTCGCATCTGCAATAGACATGCCAATAGTGTGAATTGCAAGACAGTTAGAGATGATTCGTAGTTTAATTTTAATTGATTAGGGTTAGGGTTGGACAGAAGCGGGTAGCAATACCAATGGCGAGTTTTTTCCCGGCTATGGTTTCAACGGAGACACGACGGCCGACGGGAGCCAGTAACTCCCATAAACCTTGAACTCCCATTTAGGTCTGCTGCAGAAGGAGGAGCTTCCAGAATTTTGATCGATTCTGTTACTTTCCATTTCTTGCCGCCAAGAGTTATATATATATAGGGCTGAATACAGGAAGATAAAACAAATTGAAACGACGCCGTTCCGGTATACCGTTTAACCGGAGGGAATGCTGGAGGGCCACCATCTTCTTCTTCTTCTTCTTCTTCGGTTCTTCCCCTTCAGTTTCTCGCCGGAATCACGACGTGTTTTCGGGCTTCAGACGAGAAGACGTCCGCAAGAGTTCCCTGAATCATCTCAATTCCGCTGTATAAACCAGTCGATTTCAAGAAAAGCGGTGCGTCCACTGGTAATCATCTTTCTCTTCAAAATCTACATCTGCTTGAATAATCCATTTCTTAAATTTTTACCATGCTTTTAAGTTTAAGAGTCAGATTTCTATTTGGATGATTATAGGGCTTACATTGGGCTGTACTGTCTAAAGGAATCCTCAATGGCCATTGGGCATTTTCAGAATTTGTATGGGACAACGAAGGATCTGTGTGTGAAATTCTATGCGCACAAAAGACTCGATCTTTCATTTTGCTGTCAATCAGACAACTCATTCTCTGGAGATCTCAGTGAACTTGCCTGAGATAGAGTGCTTGTTCAAAATTCAACTTGGGTTGCTTGGGAACAAGTGAATATTCATAATTTCATTGTGAATGCTAAGATAAAGGGTCTCTCTTCCTTTCTCTTCTTTCCTTTTACTACCACTTCAACATGATTCATGTTTTTCAAGTAGCAAGGTTATATACAGACATTGGATTTGTGACAATTTCATGTATATTGGGTGAAATAAATTAAATATGCCAGTCGATTTGAGAGCATATCTTTGACTTGGCCAAATTCATGCTGCCTGATTCAGCCCCCACTGCCCACCCAAATCATGCCTTCAATTCCATTAACTTTGACCAGCTGAAAAGAACAGAGTATTCCAATCAACCATTTTTTATTTTCATTCAGGTTCGTCTTCAATATAAGAAATGACACAGCTTAAAGGTGCTTTGTACTAGAGATGAGATGCATCAAGGGCCAATGCCAGGCAGAATAGGTAAAAACTAAACATTTTGCTTTTCCCATGCCATGTTAATTTAAACATCTCTTGTTCTTCGTGCAAATTTCAGTAGTCTCAAAGTCCTTGATTTCAGTGCTCCTCCTTACTCTCTAGTATTGAGAAGTTGATCTTCATTCTTCAAAGAGTGCATTAATTTAATTGAGCTGTGTAAGTCCTGTACAATCTCATTTTCTTGAATCTGGAGAACTGCAAGAACACCATTTATCTTCTCAAATAAATTCTTGAGTTGAGGAAATCTTCATTTGTATCTCTGCTCAAAACTGTAGAAAGCTCCGGAGCACATGGAGAACATGACAAGTTTTAAAGCGCTCAACATAGGCTGTACTGCCAGCAAGAAATTACCCACGTCCATTGGGGATTTTCAGGATCCTACAAGATCTGTATGGGCTGGTGGAGGATCTCTATTGGTAAAGTCCAGGCACCAATAGCTATGGCATTGTTGATGATAAAAAGTATGAGTCTCTTATGGGCAGTTTGTCAGACAATTCATGAAGGGTTCCATCCATATTTCTTCTTTCTTTCTCTTCTCTAGTTCTTATTTTTTCAATTTCGAGCATGAAGGTCAAGTGATTCATGGAACTATGATGTGCTGGTCAAATGATTTGTGTTTCCTATTTTTCACTCCCCTCTTTCAGCTAGATGTTGATCCAGCCTACTACAAGGATCCCGTATTCAGCACCATCAGTATCATTTATACTTAACTCCAGCTATGAGAGGTTATCAGCAACATGTGTGAGTCAAATGATTCATGTTTCCTATTTTTCACTCATGTGCAGTCTGTCAAATAAGCATGAATCCCTCTTTCTCTTCTCTAGTTCTTGCATTGCAACATGATTCATGTTTTACATGTAGCAAGAGTTATCTGAACTTGGGTTTATTGTATTTTTCATTCCTTGTAGTGCAGTTCCTGATTGGTTGGAATCAATATTCAGCCGATTATTGCAACATAGAAGCCAGAATCATCCCACATGAATCATGCTTCCCAATACCTGCATGAAACACACATCCACATCCTTTGACTATTCACACAGCCAATAAGGACGTGATACAACAATCAGCCATTTCCATGCTGGTCCATTTTTTATTTCATAGATGACGTGAAGCAGCTATAATGTAAATGGGGAAGTGAATGAAACCCGTCCACTTTGTTACTTCATCAAGGACTTGGTGTGATAATCGGCCATTCACATGCTGGTTCCCTCTTAATTTCAAGGATGACATGAAGTAGCAATAACGCAAATGGGAAATCGAAGGAAGCCTGCCTGCTTCGTTACTTCATCAATCATTCTTTTTCTTTATGCCTTCAGCCAATAAGAACATGAAACAACAGCTGGCCATTTTCATACTGGTTCCACATTAATTTCATAGATGATTTGGAGCAGCGATTATATAAATGATAAAGTGGATGAAAGTATGAAACCCATCTGCTTCTTGCTTCATCA